ACTTATTTCTAAATGTTTGAATAAAACATGTACCGAAAAAATTAATTTTATCAAATGACTTATTTTTTTAATGATAAATAAAACCAAATGAATGAATACATAGTAAATAAAAATTTGTATTGAAAAAAAGTCTCGAACTGTACGACAAAATTTAGTAATTACGGTTCTATTACCTGGTCATAGAAGAGTGCGTAAAGTCCTTGGCCTCTACTGTTGTTATTTCTCTTACTTGCTTGTTACTTAGTTATAAGACCTCCATGTACAAAATGAAGCGAAATAAGCACCGATAGTTTTTATACTTTTCTAGCAAAGCAATAATATTACGTACAACCTTAGCCGCGACTAAGCAAAACAAAAGAAATGTAAACCCGAATAATAATAATAGTTGATTACAGCGAGAGCATAATAAGCCATTCTGTATAAAATGTACACCTTTTGGCGTGCAAAGGTAAAGATGGGCGTTTTTCAAATGTTTTTTTTACGCCATTCAAATAACTATGTAAAACTCTGAATAAAAACTATTTTCCAAAAAAAAAGTCCTTGGCCTGTGTGCAAGAGATCGAGAGTTCAAATCTCTTTGGTTACTTTTTTTTTTTTTTTTTTTTTTTTTTTTTTTTTTTTTTTTTTTTTTTTTTTTTTTCTTAGAATTGGTTAAAAGAAAAAAGAAGTAAAATTCAATATGTGTACTGAAGTATTAAAGCAGGATGTTGTGTGGTCTGGTGGCGTTGTGTGGTGTAGGGGGACTGAAAGTACGTCAAGAGGGGTGGGACATAAAGGGAGAATCAAGCAAAATCCACTTCCGTTACACTTTTTCTCAAGGTCACCAATCTGAAATCGTTGATTAATTTCGTAGGGCAGAACTTACGTATAGAAGTATTACTTTAAAAAAATAACCTCTAATTTTTTTCAAGAAAAAGATTTTTCTGATGTTTTAGACAGTATAGCGAATAAAATAAGTTTTGCCTCGTGACTGCGCCTTTAAATAAAATTTTTTTTTTCTGTCACGATAGCATTTTTTAAATGGAATCACTCATTTATTTATGTTATTCAAAGATTTTCAAAGATATAGTCAATTTTAAGACTACTGTGTATAACAGGAGGTGTTAAATTGGTTAATTTTCAGTATCGATTGGGATAAAATATTTCATCACAAATATTCAGGAATAATCCATAGGTATTAAAGGGATGGTAAAATCGATTTCGAATTCGAATCTCGAGCCCTCAGCNATAGCGAATAAAATAAGTTTTGCCTCGTGACTGCGCCTTTAAATAAAATTTTTTTTTTCTGTCACGATAGCATTTTTTAAATGGAATCACTCATTTATTTATCCTCCAGTAGTATATAGTTATTGAGAAATAGCTATGCATACTCCTCCTTTACCCTTGCTCATCTCACTTGGCCCCCTCACTGCTTCTCTACTTCTTGGCCCCTTTAACACTTTTATATCGTCCACTTACCCTCCCATTTTCGGCCCCCCTCAAAATAATAGATAACTCCTTTTATTTCTTTGTAAAATTAATCTAATAGAATTTTGGTTAGTCTCCTCACTTCCTCATAATTGTTGTGTCCCCCCTCACTCTCTCCCAAAAAAGACAAAATTATCTTTATTTATTTTACCTTCTCTCACCCTCCTCAGCCCTTCTTCTCAAACAAGATTTTCTTACTTTTGGTTAGCAAATCAAAAATATTTTGGTTTGATCCCTCACCTTTACATCTGCTATCCGCACACCTCACACTTTTTATTTTTGATAAGCAGCTCATCACCCTCCCTCATTCTTAAAAAAGAAGGCAAATCTTTATTTATTTTCATCTTATTTATTTTTCCATACCGCCCATGAGGCAAGTAGACGGGTACATTGATTTGTTTTTGTTGTTATTATGTAGATCATTGTAAATAATAATTTAAAAATACTTAAATGTATAAGTGACACAATATAAATGTATTAAACAGTATTTTATATTCTGATAAAATAATAAAAACCATAGAGGTCATTGTTAATCAGTATTGTTGTGAAAACATGAAACGCTGCCCTATTTAAGAAATAATTAGAATATTGGTATTTATGCTGTGGTATTTCTCTTTAATTTTAAAGTATGTATACATGTAATAATATATTCGTCCCTATATACGTTCTAAACACCAATTTATTTAAAAATCAGGATAATGTATATTATTAGTTTTCATCGTAACCAAATTAATTTTCAAGTGATTTAATTATTTTACTTGATATCCACCCTAGACGTATTTGTAAATATTCAGAAGTTAGTATATATGCTTTGTTGGAATCATTATTTAATTTTGATCCTTATTGTAATACCATTTTGCAATATTGACAAGTTAAATTTAAGTAATTTAATTATTTTACTTGATGTCCACCTTTATGACGTATTTGTAAATATTCAGAAGTTAGTATATATGCTTTGTTGGAATCATTATTTAATTTTAATCCTTATTGTGATACCATTTTGCAATATTGACAAGTTAAATTTTCTTATTTAAAGTTTTTTGTGTGCCAATCTAAAAGTAACATACCTTGAGTTTTAGCAAGTATAATCATACTTTTTAGATAACTACCTTTGTGTGTACATGCGACTGTTACTAAGGCACTTCGATTACATCTTCGTAATTTCCGTCAAGCTTTCATTTAAATAATATAGGGTATAATTATACATTGTGACACGCTTGGATATTGATAACGTTCAATTCAGAGACATATTTTACATCACAAAATACATAATTGTTCAACCAAGAGAATACTTTACATTAGTAATGACATTGCTATTTCTTTTTATTCTTTATCTTTGTATATAACTATTGAAAATACACAATGTCCAGTAAAAATTCACATATAGTATATCTTAGAGAACTTCCGTAATAATTAAGCCGTTGAGAGCCAATTGGCAATGTTTATTATTTATTATTATTACAACGTTTTATTGGCCATTAGTGCCAGCCTCATCCAAAAGTTTTCATAGTAACGCTTTGTCTCTCACGGACACTACTTTTTCTGAATGTTACGGATTGCCGAAAATTCATTAAGTCAATACTCCCTTGAGTCTCATTGTTACCTTTAGAAATAGCCCTACACATTTTCTTGCAAAAACAATCTATAACGAACTCAAAAGTGCTATTAGTGTTCTGAAATAACACGTAAATAATAGTTTTAACTTTTAAAAAAATATAAGATGTACAACCTCTAACTGATCACAAATTAATATCGCTAGACGTTGCGTCGTTGTTCACCAATATTTCATTAGAATTAATATTAACGAGTATTGACCAAAGAAGTTCAACTCTAATTAATAAATGTAAAGATGCTTTTAGTCAAAATTATAAATGAATAAGGTTTTTAAACAGTAACACTTTTTTTTATATTTGACAATAAGTTTTACCAACAAATTTTCAACGCTCCTATGGGAACCCCCATTTTTCCTCTAGTATGGTAGAATTAGTTTTTCAGCTAAGAAGATTCTGACTAGCTTGAAAAAAAGAGTAGTAGTTCTAATGCATGGTAACAAATTGACAGAAAATTTGACAAGTAGAAATTTCAGCAAGAGCCCCCCCAAAAAATGAAAAAATAGCAAAAACATGTTTTTTGCGTCTAAAATTTTCTATATTCTCAGACCTCGTGATAGACCTGGAATGTTATTATCTCTTTATTTTAAAAAATAAACAATATTCGTTGATACTGTTATTTTTATTACGTGGAAAATATATTACTCTTTATTAAAGAAGATCACATTGGCAAAGTTTTAAACGTTATTATTCATATCACCCTCAATTACAGTTTATTTATGAAATCGACATTGACAAACGAATCAAGTTTTCAGATCCAATAATAATTAAAACCTCTAACAACTTTAACTTTGACTGGTTTGAAAATCTTACTTTATCTAGACAAATTTAAAATAACTTTTCAGGTTATCCAATTAGTCTTAAAAGAAACGTTGTTTTTAATTTAATTGACGAAGCAACGTTATTATCAAGTTCAAGGTTTCACAGTGCAAATGTTCGAGTCAGGAATATTTTGATAAACAATAACGACCCATCAAATTAAAGAGTGGCTTTGGCTCAGTAGTAAGCTTGTTTGATGCCGATACAGCGCTGTTTAAAGGATCGTGGGATGGATTCTCGGTGTGTGCAGATTTTTTCAAAAACTGTTTTTACTGGAGAACGTTCCTATGCAATCCCAACTGTTTAAAAAAGAAATTAAATGTTCATAAAAAAAACTAACGTCATATTAAATTGATAGATTAGCAAAGTTTAATGTGTTTGGTATCTATGGATAAAATATCAAGACTACAAAAATAACCTAATACAGTGGTATGTGATACAGTAGTTATTTTAATGACAGAAACCATGACAATATCAAGTGCCTTTTTAAAGACTTATAACATTTTTAATGATATCTATTTAAAAGTATTCAAAGAAGTAAAAGATTTCAAAAGTAGTGAGATCAACATAAAATAGTTAAGTTTGTTGCTACATCAAAGAACTCTTACTCTGATTAAAAATATGAAAAATCTTTGTGCTCGTAGATTAGAAATGGTTTTTTAAAAATTTTTTACATGGGATAAAAACTTTGGACTCACTTACTTGTGTCCTAAAAGTAATTGTTTCTAAAAAACTTTTTTTTAAACAATATCATTATTATTTTATTTTTTATTATTATTATTTTTTTTTTATAAGACTACGAAATTTTCATGCCTTTGTTGCTCAACCTCTAGAATTCAACGTTACTTTACTTTGTAACAAAACCTTAATTATTTGCCTAATTATTGAAGATAAATATAGCAACATATCTGTTTATTGTGGAGGCAATATTTTAACGTATATAGATCTTAAGAAAATGTTTTTCATAGATACAATTAATGCTTGAATAATACTACTTCGAATAAAACATAATAGTATTGACATAGGTAAAAGTTATTTTTTGAGGATACTGTACTTGATGAAAGAAATTAAAAAAAACTACATAAAATAATTAATTTAATTTAGGTAACAGTCATAGTTGATGACGAAGATGATAACGCTCCTATATTTTCTTCAAGTGCTTACGAAGGTAGAATATTAGAGAACAGTCGTACAGGGACTGAAGTTATTATGCTGAATCACATATCTGTTCGAGATCTAGATGAACATGCTAATTTTTTTCTGACATTGGAGGGAATTGGCAGTAATTTTTTTGAGATAAATCAGATGACGGCTAGGATATTTTACATAGGAAATTCAACAGATTTGCTTGATCGTGAAGAAAAGCCTGCCTACAATCTTCAAATAGTTGCTCAAGATGGGAGTAAGTAAATATTTTTGAATCTTTAGATTCAGACAAGTTTAACATAAATTATAAATAAGGAATTATGTACTCACTCATACAACTTTTAATACTTAAGTTCATTACTAACAATGTTCTTAAATTATTATTAAATAATACACTACAAGAGGTACATGAATCATTTACTGCACAGGCTTGAATTACTGAGAACTCTTCAATAGTACAAAATTTAAAAAAAAACTAGAAAACTCGTATAATTATACATTGTGACACGCTTGGATATTGATAACGTTCAATTCAGAGACATATTTTACATCACAAAATACATAATTGTTCAACCAAGAGATTTTTAACAAATCTCACTCATAAAACATAAAAATAAAAATAAAACTTCGTAGGCGTTCGCAGTAAATAGTGTGCAGTAAGTTGTTCTGAGCTTCAACATGAAAACGTTATGTGAGATACCCGTACAGTAATTGGAAGCGTAGTAACTGGTACTAATTGTCAAACCGTTGGTAGTAATACAAGCAAGTGATATTAACACTTAAGTAATTAAGGGAAAAAAAGTAACAAAAGAAAAAACGTTATTTGTTTTAATCGCTGCGGATGATGATAAAATAAGACTACTTTAATTTACATCGAAAAACATGGAAGAATAAATAATTTTTCACAGTTAAAAACTTCAATTCGCAGTAATCAGGTCATTTATCCCTACAACAAATCCCATTTTAAAAATTATGCCAATAACATTAATGTAATCCACGAAATTTGAAAATTTCCGTTGATTTTTGAATACACTTCTTATACGTAAACCGTAATACAAGTATTAGACATTTATTATATTGATTTGATAAGAACGTGAAAATTAACTAATTTTTTTTAACTTGCTTATATGAAAGAATCAAGAGTCATTCTTTTGAAAAATATATGACGAAAAGATTTCTTTTACAGCTCAAAAATCGTCAAACGCCTCACTTACAATTCAAGTAGAAGACGAAAATGATAATGCACCAAATTTTGCACAGATGATTATCCTACCAGATCGAGGAATCAGAGTTACAAAAGACAATATTGATAAGTCGAGTATGAAGAGTAATAGTAGCAAAGCTGCTTTAGAAAGTAACGATCATCGATCACCACTTCTCTACATTCCAGAAAATATAACGATAGGTGTTCCTATTATTCGGCTTGTTGCTCGAGATCCTGATAAGGGAAAAAATTCTGAAGTTACATATAATATCTTATCAGAAATGGAAGACTTCAGCTCTTTAAAAAGTAAATTTAAGTCCAGAGGAATGGTGAAGCACTATTTCGTTATGGACTCCAAAACCGGTGAGGTATCCGTAGCTGGTACATTACCCGGTGAAACTGATATTACTGTTGAAATTATTGCTAGAGACAACGACGGATTAATGGATAATATAACAGTACGATTACATATTTTTGACGTAAACGACCATGCACCTATTTTCAAAAAGTCTTCGTATTCATTTGATGTTCTTGAAGGGGTCTACACAAAATTAGAATTTGGAAAACTTGAGGCTACTGACGAGGATTTTGGGGACAATGCTGATGTTACGTACCAAATGACACTCATCAATCCGGATAACAGTGCAAAGTTTGAAATTTCTAAGTAAGTATGTTGCTTCCTTTGTAGTTTTTTTTTTTTTTTTTTTTTTTTTTTTTTTTTTTTTTTTTTTTTTTTTTTTTTTTT